ATTGCTGTTTCCTATGTGTTCATCCTAAAGACTGTATTGGGTATTGCTTCCCATGGGGAGCGGCTCAAAGCTCTTAACACCTGTGTTTCTCACATTTGTGCTGTGCTCATCTTTTATGTGCCAATCATCACCTTGGCTACCATGCATCGCTTTGCTAAGCATAAGTCCCCCTTAGCTATGATTTTGATAGCAGATGCTTTCTTGCTGGTACCACCCTTGATGAATCCCATCGTGTATTGTGTAAAAACTAGGCAGATTAGAGTAAAAGTCTTAGAAAAATTGGGTCTGAAGTCTAAGTGATAGGACAAAGGTGGAAGTTCCATTTTCTCTACAATAAATTGTTCTAGGAGTAAGATATTGTTCCATCCAAAAAGGAAATTGTTCCATTTACTTCTTAGTAATTAGCTTAAATTAACTAACCAAACAATCAAGTCATTATGCATCTAATATACCCACAGGTTTTTTCTTCCTTTGGAAAAATAAGAATATATTTCATAGCAACTATATGAATCCTTTGGAGTTATTTAGGTGATTGATAATATCTATCTGTGGGCACAAGAATGTAAAGTAAGAATATTAGGAATTTTCTAAGGAGGAGCCAGGGAATATAGCCTTGGTCTGTACTAGAAGAATCCTGAGAGATACTGGAAGTATTAGCATCTCTGTATTTGCCCCTTCTTATTTGAATAATCATTGTGATTTACATTAAATTCTTTACAATATGTCTAGGTGATTCTGTGTCCACTAATCAGCAGCAATTTTATTACCTAGAATATTGTTAAAATTGCAGAATCTCATGTGCTGCTGTGAGTCCATGAGTCAATTTGCATTTTAGCAAGATTTCAGGGGATTGGCATACATGTTAATGTTTAAGGAATACTTCCCTATGGCATCATGATAGGAAAATTTAGAAAAAGTATGTAATTTGCTAAAGTTAGTTTTGAGTGAAGTTGGGTTGGGGACAGGAAGTTATAGGAGGGCCTTGACATTTGGTAGCATTAATGGTAAAGATAATGGATTGAGTGCCTAGGGTTCAGTGGTTGGAAGCCCAGAGGCATCTCCAACACTGTACCTATGTTTCCCGTGACAACTGTGTTATGAATTTCTGCAGGGAAAGAACTGTAGCTCATTCCACTTTGAATTTTATTAAAGTACTTTGTGTATGTGTGCTTAGTAGATGTGTATCCATTTGTATTAAAAGAATAGTTTCAAGTAAAAGAGGTATTTTTTGGTAAATAGTTGGCATAAAAGGGTAGAATAAATATCATAAAACAAATAACTTCAAAGTTTCTGTGATAAGGAAAACCTGGGGTCAAAGTGTCAAAGGTTGTTCAATATATTATGAAGGCCGGGGCCCACAGTCCCTCAGGTTTTGCTGGGGTATATTGGAGTGGTCATCACCTGGGTGCTACTCAGCACTCTCCTCTTCCCATTTCTCAGGGACCTCATCCCCAATGTTTCTGGACCCAAGTGTTCCCCTGCCGACATTAATAAAAAAGTTTGGGGGGAAGGCTTCAGAGTAAGGCAAACATCTTAAATCCTCAGCCTTGGTATTCTCATTTGTGAAATGAAATGACTAACTCATTTAATAATTTTAATAAGAGAATGTATACTTTGAAGGGAAGCTTAGTTCAACTTGAAGATGTAACTATTTATATATTCCTGGAAGGTATCACAATATGATTATATCAGATTATATCATATTGTGTCTTGATATCTTCTTGTTTTGGCACTAAATGGATTCATTATGCTACTTTCATTTAAAGTGCATTCTTCTGTAATCACAAGAGAACAAGATTTTTCAATATAATTTTTTTCCAATTCATTAAAGAAGATATTTACATTTTACAGTGGATGATAAAAAACATTTGCTAGGATTCAGCAAATAAACATTATTAAACAAGAAAATAAATTAACTATTTACTCAAAGATATAGCATAAAACTATTGTACTAGATTCTAATAAACACAAATGCAATTTCTATTAAAATCAGAAACAACATTTGAACATTCACTTTTACAATTATTTTTCACAATTGTTTTGGATGTTAGTGAATTAAATAGAAAATAAAATTACATAATTTATATGACTATTGGGAAAACTACCATTTATTTTTACTTATATATTCCATGTGCAAATAAAGTACAAATTTTAAATAAAATGGCCATAATGCTTGTGGTAAGCATATTAATGCAAGAAAAGAAATATTTTGTTAGAATATCAACAAACCATTTATAAAATACATAGAAATTCATTTAACCTAAGCCAAAAATTTTATTGAGTAATATAGAATAGCTGTTTCTGAGACATCTATCATACATTCTTGAATATGAAAATCTATCAATGTTTATTCCCTTAAATTTATTCTATAAATAAGTAATTCCTCCTAAAAATCCTGAAGTTTTATTATAATGAGATTGTTTTATACCATATTTTTAGCTAAATTACATTACGAAGCTACTAAAATAAATCAGTGATATGTCATCATCCATTAAAAGATATGTAAAGCAAAGTCTATACATACACCCAAGGTGTGTGTGTGCGTTTTTGTATGGATAGATGGATAAAATTAAACACTGATATACATAGTTTTTTATTTCAGTGAAAATAAAAGAATGGATTTAATAAATGATTCTACCATTAGTACATTTGCATGATTAAGCTAGGTTGTGTGGCCTAGCAGTCTAAGTACATATGCATGATTAATATAACTTTCTTAGTATAATTGGTTAATATAATTTTAGACTTCTGATATTGAAAACATTAAAAGTTAAAATTATGAAACTATTATGACAATTTTAGAAAAAGGCATAACAGACCATATGTAGAACCTAGGAATCAAAATACTTTTGGTTTCAGTGCTGAGAATAGAATCCAGGGCCTCAAAATGGTAGGCAAGTGCTTTACCACTCACTGGGTTACACTACCGGCTCAATGATATCTGTTTTAAAGTAACACATGAACCAAAAATTTTAAAGGAAAACGAAGGTAGATGGAATTATACAAAGAACTATTTGTTGAATTGGTTGTTAAACAAGGTCATGCACAAATATTAGAATGGGAAAAGCTTAAAACTTACCTTCTGCAAATTTATATTTAAAACATAAACAACCAAACAGAAAAATGAATGAAGTTTATTTGAATGAGCTCCTTATGAAAAATGAAACAAAATAATTAATAGATATGTGAAAGACATTCTTTCTCACTAATTGAAAAATACAAAATAAAGTAAATTGAGCACAATAAAGTATAATTCTTAATAACAAAACTGATGAGAAATTAAAAGTGCTAGAACAGTCAATTTTAGTGACTATGGGGAAAAAAGACTCTCCTCTAAGTGTAAAAATATGAATTGATAAGGTCTTTTGGGAAAATGCTATATATTGAAATTTTAAAAAATGTTCAGTCATTTAAAAAGAGCAGTGATCTAGAAATCAATCTTACAGAGATATTAACATGAATACACATGGAGAACTGCAAAATACAGCTCATGAAAAATGGTTTGGAACAACATAAAATACATTTCTAATATCCATTAACAGAAAACAGTTGAATAAACTATAATTAACCCATAATTTCAAGTATCATGTAGTCATTTGAATGAATTAAATCCATTCCAATAAATTTGGAGGGATTTTAACTTTAAGAAAAAACAGATGCAGAAATACATGTACAATGTTATTCAAACATTGTGCTACAAACAAGGTAAGTTGCTCATATCTGTGTATTAATAATTGTATTTACATAAAGAAAAAAATCAGGATATTAACCATCTTTATAGAATAAAATTACGTTGTCTACTTGTGCTGCATAGTAACCATACAACCTCAGCTGCTTGCAACTAAAGCATTTGTTGTAATGTTCTCTGGACATTAAGTTGACAAGGGTTCCTCTGACATAGGCTGCTTTGACTTGGTGGGTCTGAGTCAGTATCCAAGTGGCAGGGACTAGCCACAGGCTGTGGATCTGACTCAGGTCTGCACCTTGTGTCTTATTCTGGAGACCAGGTTGAAGAGGCAGAATCTACTAGGGAAGCACTATTTATTACAAGAAGTAAAATTCCTTGAAAAATCACATTGAAGCCCCTGCTCTTATTACATGCATTAACATCCTATTTGAAAAGAGTGAATTATGTGCCCATGCTCAAATTCACAGTGAAGGTTAAGTACAGTGTGCCCACTCTGATCCTCAGGATGTGTGTGTGTGTGTGTGTGTGTGTGTGTGTAATACAGCTACTAAGAAATAAAGAATTAAGATAAATAACTCCACATACAACATGTGAGATTACTTTTATATGGACATTGTATTTCTTAATATTCACTAAAAGGTAATTATGCTTAAACCTGGATGATATAATTAAAGGTGATTTTTATTTCTTCTATTTTTATTAATCATAAAATTTTAACAACAAATATGCACATATTAAAAAATAAACACTTTGAAAACCAGATAACAGATGAAAAATATCAACTGTTTCTTTTTTCCAGCCCAATCAGTTAAATGGCCTATTCTTGGTTTGAAGAGACTAAATGAGAGACTTACTATATCCTCCTTCATTTAATCCTGAGGATCAGTGAGTACACTATTTATGGGGGTGAACACAAGTGGAAGATCCCCATCCAGCTGGGCAGAATGCTGCTGTTCTCTCTTTTACTGTGCAGCTTTTTGAACTTCTCCAGTTTCCTTAGTTATTAAAGTATAGACAGAGAAATTCAATGAACAGCAACTGAACAACAACAGCCATACTCTTCCATGGTTGTGAGAAGATCTGGAATTTGGTCCTTTTTATGCCCTTTTTAATGCAAAAAAGGTGGATTTCTTCCATTCTCTTGGACTTTTTCCTTCAATATACATATACACACTTCTAGGGTCAGGCAGAGTCATCCATTCACGGGCACTTGTTCACTTGAATGGCCATTTTATGTGTGGTGAACTCAGTGCAGTCATAGAAGCCTTTGTAGCAGAAGCCCTCTACCACCAAATATGGAGGGACACCCTCCTCACTGAGTACAACCCACCTTCTTGGGCTGGAACCTCTTGAGTATTCTCTCTCTAATCTCCTTCATTTTGACACTATAAAGGACAGGGTTTATCAGTGGGGGAAGTAGGAAGTGGACGTAGGAGAGAAGAGTATGGGCCGGCTGAGGGAGTGGCAGCTTGAGCCTGTTAATGAGTGCCAGGAGGATCATAGGTGTGTAGAAGAGGAGCACAGCAGAGAGGTGGGCAGCACAGGTTTGACCAGCCTTCCAGCGATCCTCGCTGGATCCCACACCTTGTAACACCCTGCCAATCAGGCCATAGGAGAAGAAAATAAGCAGAGGATCTAATGCCATGGCTGACAAGACCACAGAGAGGCTATAGACCGCTCCCCAGGCTCCTGGGCAAGCCAGACGGGCCACATCTGGGTGCAAGCAATAAGAATGTGTGAGGATCTGTGAGCGACAGTAGGGCATGTGGGCCAGGAGGAATGGCAAGGGTATATGGAGGCCCAGGCATCGGAAAGCAATCGCCATGCCAATCTTTTTAATGGTGCCATTGGTGAGTAGTGCTGGATAGTGGAGAGGGCGGCAGATAGCCAGTGCCCGGTCGAAGGCCATGGCAAGCAAGACAGAGGACTCCATGACAGAAAAGACATGGATGAAGAACATCTGAAGGAGGCAGGCAGAGGCAGGGACAATATAAGCATCAGCAAGGGCCAGGCCCAGCAAGGTAGGCATCAGGGATGTGACCAAGCCAATGTCAGACACACTAAGTAGAAAGAGGAAGAAGTACATTGGACGATGCAGGGTGGGTTCCAGGGTGATGACACAGAGGATAGTACCGTTGCCCAGGGCAGAGAGAAGGTAGACAGCGATGAGAGGTATTGTCCACCAGGATGGTGCAGCTGACAGGCCTGGCATGCCCACGAGCAGGAAGGTAGGAGCCATTGATGTGCTGCTGTTGGGGATTACCTGGGTGAGCAGTGTGGACATAGTTCAGGATCCACAATTTGAACTCTGAAACATAAAAATAGATGCACTTAATTTGGTGACATGTTTACATGATGCCATCTACCACAGCCTGTCTCATCCCTCTCCTGCCCCACACTTACTCATGTGGATACACTCTCTCGCTGTGCACATACTCATTCTAATAGTCAATGAATACCCAGCCCTTGCCTTGGAACTTTCTCTAAACAGCTGTTTCTCTCCCAAAACTTTTCCATAGTCCTTTAACCCTGCCTCTCTGTTTCTTAATTAAACTCCCTCTCTTTTTGACAAGCATTGGAGGAGAGGGTCTACATTCCCATAGTGGCTTTCTTCTCCTTCTCTCAACCCCAAGAAATCTGTCTTATGTGCTGGCTAAACACAGTCACATTTAGCTTACTTTACCTGCTCTCATTAAGGTTATCAATTACCACTTCTCTTCTAAAGGAAGAGGCACTCATTTTTCCTAAGCAATTTATTTCTCAGTGAGCTTTGTCTGCTATGAATCTCCTTTCTCTGTTTCTTTTTAAGTTTCCCCATCAGAATTTAATCTCACAGTTGACCTTGCTGTGAACATAAAATGTATACATTGGTATTTTTGAGGGCTCTTCCTTGGCTCTCTTCCTTTTCCCTCAATGGTCTTATCTATTCTCATGACTTCAAGTAAATTCTGTAAGCTGATGAATCAAAAATATATTGGCATGCTTATATATCTTAAATTCAAATAATTTGACACATCAATTTTAAAACTCCTTCTATTTTCCTCAGGAGAAAATTTGAGGAAAATTACAACAAAGGCATAGACAATGGTAGATATCTTGCTTAACAGGTCATTTAGGGGCATCAACACTGATCAAGTTCCCAAAATAAAAGCCTTGACATTAGTCTCATTACATATGTATTATCCAAATATTACTTATAATTTCAATAAGAAGGATTGGTCACACACTATAGTCATACCTACCTCCCTCTCCTAGCCCAGAAAATTTGGGAGTAAGATTCTGTACTAAATGACAATAAAAACTGGATGGTAGACTAAAGCAAAATACAAACATACTATGTTCTCAAGGGACATGATATAGATACACATTAATCTGAGACTTTTAAAAAAATTCTAAAGGTGCTTATCCTAAAATATAAAGGTAAAAACTTAAAATACAATGTAAAGACTTTCAAACTGAAGAAGAAAAACAAATATAAGAAAGACCTTAGTCAATCTAAGAGAAGACAGTGAAAGAGGAATGAAAACCAGTTATTCATTTCTGGCATGACTGAGTGACAAATCCTCTCCTCCCCAAAGCAGCTTACAGCATCTATGAACTGACTGTCAATCACACCCATTTCAGCACTTTGCACTTTGCCCATCAAAGACATCAACCTATTCAATATAACTACTCAATATTAGGACATCACAGCCATGTTCCTGGCATTCAACTGAGAGTTACTCTAGTCATCCACTGTCTCCAGCTCTCTCATCAGTGGTCAAAGGAAACCCCAGGGCTTTGCTCTAGCTGCCTGAAGTTAGGGCCTTCCTTGAGTTGGAGCACTGCCACTGCTAACTTGGTGGCAAGCAGGTAGTGGTGGCCAGCTACTTACTATCCTGAGGTTATGATTCTTTCTGTAGCAAGCCATAGGCAGGAGACTAATTGGGGAGTACAGAAAAAAGTAAATATATGGGTAATATAAAGGACTCTATAAATATGTTAAATATAAATATGTTAAAAATTTATCTAAATTTCCTTGAAATAGATTATGAGGGGAGATAATTATAGCAATGCATTGTTTTTATATATGTATATATATATATATATAAATTATATGTATTCCTATTTACATATGTATATATACACACAGATGCATTCTTGCTTTTATTTTTAACATATGCCTCTTGACTGACAATGGGATTGTGTTTTAGTAAGTTCATTGTGAGTTGAAAATACCGTTGGCGTTTAATACACCCAATGTGCTGAGTGAACATCATAGCTTAGTCTACCCTACCTTACCCATGCTCTAAACACTCATATTAGCTTACAACTGGGCACAGTCAACTAACACAAAACCTATCTTATAATAAAGTATTAGATGTGTCATGTAATTTATTGAATACTAAACTTGAAAAATGGAGAGGTTGTATGGTGATGCTTTTGCAACATTGTAAAGTTAAAAATCAGAATAGAAACATCATTAAATTGGAGACCTATGTATATTTTATATATATATATATATATATATATATATATATATATATATATATAT